TTTTTAAAATTTTGACGTAAAATGGTTGTTGTTTAGGTATGTATTAACGAAATTATTTTCTTATTAAATTAATTGTAATTACAGAAAAAAATTCAAAATATTAAGTAAGTTATTGTTTGTTTTAGGTTTTAATTTTATTAATTATAACAATTTTAATAATAAAAGCCTTTTGAAAGAGTTCCTGATCAGGAACGAAACGTGAAGAAAGAAATCGCTGCTGTTTTTTATCTTTTTTTTTAACTGACTATCACACCAGAACCCAATTCCCAAGAAAATAAATATATTTTAATATTAAACAAAAGGTTCAAGAAAATTTCCACTTTATATATATATATATTGAAATGACACGGTTAATCTTGACGATTAAGTTAGAGACCAAAAAAATATATATTAGGGATGTCGTCAAATGGTGGTTGAAAGAAAACTCTTTTTTTAACTTAAACCAAGCTTTCGATAATTATTTATTATCTTTCTCAAGGTTAAAATGGTTCAGTTGACAGAGTTACATCATAAAACTTAAACGAATATAAAATTTTTATTTTCATTGTTCTGAACAGTTGTCTAGTCTCGACTGAATCGATAAATTTCCATATTGGTGGTGTAATATAATTTAGCATCGCTCAGACAAAATATTTTTATGCCGTACTTATTTGGCTTGGAAGGTATATATTGTCTAAAGCCACATCTCGATCTAGTTTCCACGTAGTCCTCTATTTTAGAATTGTCGGACTCGCCAAAATCTTCGTCTGTAATTTTATCAAGTTCTTCTTTGTCCGTAAAAGCCAAACGATTCAGTTCTTCGATATCCTCTGGATTATTTATATTATATATTCTTGCACTCATCTTTACACTTACTTGTTAAAACAACAAATACACATAAAATATTACTCGTTAGAAACACCAATACTACGAGGCAATTGCCGCCGATCGACTGTAACAAGAATGGGCGCATAGTATATAGCAGGTACATGTCCCAAGGCATGCCCAGTTTTACCTAATTAATAAAATTTCCAGTAAACTATTTAAAATATGTTACCTGACGATTATTGCTAATTAGAGAACTCTAGAATTAGTAGTTTTTAAGAAATTCCCATTAATATTAAGAATGTATCTGTCAGATGCATACGCGACTAATGGAGGGTTAATAAACTCCCAAATTTGTAGAGTAATTCATATATTTACAGCTCAAACTTTAAACGAAGTTTTCTCTAAAATGGTTCATTTTAGCGTCATGCAACAACAAGTCAGTTCATAAAACTAACCAAATGTTTCAAAATAACTGATCATATTCTAAAAATCTCGTTCAGTATATCCACTATATATAACACAAAAGTCAATTAGATTCGTGTGTATCTGACAATAAAACCTTGTACATTTGTATACGATTATCCAAGAAATAAATAAATTATCGTAAAAAAATGAAGTGAAAAAAACATTTTATCTGCTTGCATATAGTAAATAGACTATTAATGCATTGTTTTTAAGTTGCTGTAGACGAGAGGTAAGTGAGGTAACTTACCTCCCTAGGGAAAAAAGCGATTTCGAGTTATAAATGCATATTTTATGAAGAAATAAATAGAAATATTTGATGAACATTACCTACATTTTATTAATTATTATGAATGGATATTTATAGTAATTGTACAGTTATTACATTTAGTAATATTTATAAAATCTGAATAATTATTCCCTTCGCGTTTACTAATTGTCACATTTTTCTCAAAATGATTTGACCGCTCCATTTCAGTCACCGGAGGCTCAATATTATCTGACTAATCTATTAAAACAGCATGATGCGTACTACGTACTACTAGAACCTGGAGTTGAAGTGTCATTGTAAAGAATCTTGTTGCCTATTTAATTTTTCTTACTTAAAGCAACATAACTTTCCGCAGTTGTGGCTGATTTCCACCCACCATGTCTCTTGATTGCTAATACATCAACTCCTGTATTAGCCAGTAACGTTGCCGATGTTCTTCGGAATGAAAGGCCTGTATATGTTTCAGGATGTTCTAGTTTCAANCACATAAAATATTACTCGTTAGAAACACCAATACTACGAGGCAATTGCCGCCGATCGACTGTAACAAGAATGGGCGCATAGTATATAGCAGGTACATGTCCCAAGGCATGCCCAGTTTTACCTAATTAATAAAATTTCCGATAAATTATTTAAAATATGTTACCTGACGATTATTGCTAATTAGAGAACTCTAGAATTAGTAGTTTTTAAGAAATTCCCATTAATATTAAGAATGTATCTGTCAGATGCATACGCGACTAATGGAGGGTTAATAAACTCCCAAATTTGTAGAGTAATTCATATATTTACAGCTCAAACTTTAAACGAAGTTTTCTCTAAAATGGTTCATTTTAGCGTCATGCAACAACAAGTCAGTTCATAAAACTAACCAAATGTTTCAAAATAACTGATCATATTCTAAAAATCTCGTTCAGTATATCCACTATATATAACACAAAAGTCAATTAGATTCGTGTGTATCTGACAATAAAACCTTGTACATTTGTATACGATTATCCAAGAAATAAATAAATTATCGTAAAAAAATGAAGTGAAAAAAACATTTTATCTGCTTGCATATAGTAAATAGACTATTAATGCATTGTTTTTAAGTTGCTGTAGACGAGAGGTAAGTGAGGTAACTTACCTCCCTAGGGAAAAAAGCGATTTCGAGTTATAAATGCATATTTTATGAAGAAATAAATAGAAATATTTGATGAACATTACCTACATTTTATTAATTATTATGAATGGATATTTATAGTAATTGTACAGTTATTACATTTAGTAATATTTATAAAATCTGAATAATTATTCCCTTCGCGTTTACTAATTGTCACATTTTTCTCAAAATGATTTGACCGCTCCATTTCAGTCACCGGAGGCTCAATATTATCTGACTAATCTATTAAAACAGCATGATGCGTACTACGTACTACTAGAACCTGGAGTTGAAGTGTCATTGTAAAGAATCTTGTTGCCTATTTAATTTTTCTTACTTAAAGCAACATAACTTTCCGCAGTTGTGGCTGATTTCCACCCACCATGTCTCTTGATTGCTAATACATCAACTCCTGTATTAGCCAGTAACGTTGCCGATGTTCTTTGGAATGAATGGCCTGTATGTGTTTCAGAATGTTCTAGTTTAAAAACTGTGTAATTTTATTAGGAATCATAGAAACGGTATACTTGCCGACTGGTTGGTTGTAACATCTACCAGCTTGATAGCGCATAAAAAAGCGTGAAATTTCAGTTTTAATTTCCAATCTAATACTGATATATTTTTTGAGAATTTCTAGGTGAGAAACAGAACCCAGACGAGAAGTAATTGTAAACGTACGTGACATACCATTTTTAGAAACTGGAATTGTAACTAGAATGTCATCGAAATTTTTGAAATTGACGTTGTCCGAAGAAAGTTTGCATAACTCATCAAACGGCATGCTCCTGCAATGCCTAAGACCGTCACTACCTTCATTAGCAAATATGTGTAATCGGGTGCCTGAACAAGAAAATCGTTGATTTGTTCTCTTATAAAAACGTTTGACATTTTACGTGTATAGCCGTCATTCTTACGTTTCAAAAATGCTCTCAGCTTGGGGTATTTTGATATATCCACGTTCTCCTCTATGAAAATAGTTGATTTAATCATTGAGTATTCACTCCGCAAACTCGCCGGTAACTTTAAAGTTCTTGACTTCTCCATTAAATATGTATAGCAGTGACATTTCAGAAGCACCAGTATTTTTGTTCTGGCACCATTCTTTGGAATTTATATATGCTCGTCCGTAGCGCACTTTTGATTTTTCGGGCAATAAAAAATAGTAGGCAGCATTTGCTGCACTTTCTATTTGAAATTCACTCAATTAGAAATAATAATTCAAAACCAGCAAAATTGCAACTTTTATGTGGTTTTGTTTATAAACACCTTGGAAACGACAAAATCCAAACAACCAAGGTGACTGCAAGATTTCGAATAATGTCAAAATGAATTAAGAAATGTCAAAAAATAAAACCTAATCTTTA